CTTGTGAAATCCCACGTGTTAATGTCACATTAAACGTTATAGATGCTGATTACTATGTACTTCTGCAGGTTGATGTCAATACTGAAGTTGGGGTTGTCAGAGATATCCGTCTTAAAGAATTGCGGATATATACTGATTATGGCCGTTGCAGTCGTCCGTTATTCATCGTGGATAAACAAAGGCTTCTCATAAAGAAGAAAGATATTCATGCATTACAGCAGAGGGTTAGCTAGCTGAAATCTTCAATTAATTTTTTTTGGACTTCCAGTGTTTACAGGAATCTACCTGTATGTTTTCAGGAAAACCCTGAAGATGGTGGCTGGCATGATCTTGTAGCAAAGGGATTTATAGAATATATTGATACGGAAGAAGAGGAGACTACAATGATTTCCATGACAATTAATGTGAGTAGTTCTCGTTGAAAAAAATGCATCATGATTTTATTCTGGATTAAAAACAGACCTGTAGAACCCATAGGGCATTGATGATCTCAATTTCTAAAAACTTGTACCCAGGATCTTGTACAAGCAAGGCTCAATCCTGAAGAGGCATATTCTGACACTTACACTCATTGTGAAATTCATCCATCACTTATTTTGGGTGTTTGTGCTTCAATTATACCATTTCCCGATCATAATCAGGTAAATTTGTCATGCAAGTGAATTTATGTGTTTGATATCTTATTCATTTGTTATTCCATCTACTTATTTGTTTGTTGTGATCAGTCTCCACGTAATACGTATCAATCTGCTATGGGCAAGCAAGCTATGGGAATTTATGTCACCAATTATCAGTTCCGAATGGTATGATTAGGTTCCCACTATTGTAATTATGTATTCTCTATTTTCTTTTCGTGAATGTTACAGTTGATTATAAACTATGGTAAGTTACTTCTTGTTGCTTCACTCAGGATACACTGGCGTATGTTCTGTACTACCCTCAGAAGCCCCTTGTCACTACACGAGCCATGGAGCATCTTCATTTCAGGCAGCTTCCAGCTGGCATCGTAAATATTTAACCTTGTTTTACATGTTTCTCTTTTTTTCTTCATTTCAGGCAGCCACCAGCTGGCATCACCAAATGTTCAATTTCCCCCCTGAACATTTTTTAAGTCAATTAAGGATATGAGCTAATTTTTTTTCGCCAATGGGGAAATCGAAAATTTGGTGATAGTTCTGGGGGCAATTTGGCAGTTTTAAGTTTTCTAATTTAGTCTGCTAATGATTCCTTTTCTTTGTTCCATTCTGCATCAGAATGCTATTGTTGCCATTTCTTGCTATTCTGGTTATAACCAGGAAGATTCTGTCATTATGAATCAATCCTCTATAGATCGTGGATTCTTCCGGTCAATATTTTTCCGCTCTTATAGGTCAGTTTATCTCTAACTGGTATCCTGAGTACATGTAATTATATTTTTCTACAATGTATTAACTTCCTGTCACAGGGACGAGGAGAAAAAGATGGGGACCCTTGTCAAAGAGGATTTCGGGCGTCCAGACAGAGCAAATACGATGGTGAGAGTTTTATTTTTTAGTTTATGTGTCTGATGCTGCTGCCGGTGTAAGTGTTGGACGCCATACTAAGATTTGATTTTACAGGGCATGCGGCATGGTTCTTACGACAAGTTGGATGATGATGGTCTTGCACCTCCTGTAAGTATATGTAAATTTGTTTTTCAATGATTTTCTGTCCACCTATCCTGTGAAACAAATTTTATCTAATCAAGTTCTCATTGATATGATCTTAGGGAACTAGGGTTTCAGGTGAAGATGTTATCATAGGAAAGACCACTCCCATGGCTCAGGATGAGGCGCAAGGGCAAGCTGCTTCACGATACACACGGCGTGACCATAGCATAAGCTTACGCCACAGTGAAACAGGGATTGTGGATCAGGTTAGCTTTGTGTGAAATGACTTCTCTTCTTTTATTTATTTATTTATTTATTTATGATACAGATTCTGTTGTGCTTTCTTACAAAGCTGAACCTGCTCTGTGCCATATAATAGGTTCTGCTGACGACTAATGCTGATGGGTTGAGGTTTGTGAAAGTAAGGGTGAGATCTGTCCGGATACCACAGATTGGTGATAAATTTAGCAGTAGACATGGACAGAAGGGGACAGTGGGTATGACTTATACACAAGAAGACATGCCATGGACTGTGGAAGGGGTCACCCCCGATATTATTGTGAACCCACATGCTATTCCTTCTCGAATGACCATTGGTCAGCTTATTGAGTGTATCATGGGGAAGGTTGCAGCTCACATGGGGAAGGAAGGAGATGCAACTCCCTTTACAGATGTGACTGTGAGTTGCACTTTCTCTTGAAACATGCCTCTAAATTTCTTATAGAATTTCTTACTTGTACCTGTCGTAACAAATTGCAGCCAATTCTTTGTTGTGGGATTTTGGAGATTCTCATCTATTACGATTTTTTTGTTAGGTGGACAATATTAGCAGAGCTCTTCACAGCTGTGGGTATCAAATGCGTGGGTTTGAGACCATGTATAACGGCCACACAGGCAGGCGGCTTAGTGCTATGATATTCCTTGGCCCCACATATTACCAGAGGCTGAAGCATATGGTTGATGACAAGATCCATTCCCGTGGGCGGGGTCCAGTACAGATCCTCACAAGGCAGCCTGCTGAGGGACGATCTCGTGATGGTGGTTTGCGATTTGGAGAAATGGAGCGAGATTGCATGATTGCCCATGGCGCTGCTCACTTTCTGAAAGAGAGATTGTTCGACCAGAGTGATGCATATAGGGTTCATGTCTGTGAGCGTTGTGGGTTAATAGCTATTGCAAATCTCAAGAAGAATTCATTTGAGTGCAGAGGTTGCAAGAATAAAACTGACATTGTTCAGGTGAATATTTCTACTTCACTGGTGTATTCCAGACCTCTCTCTCTCTCTCTCTCTCTCTCTCTCGTGTGGAGAGGTTAATGCTAACCCACTTTTACATTATGTATATGTAGGTATACATTCCCTATGCTTGCAAGCTGCTCTTCCAAGAGCTTATGTCCATGGCTATAGCACCAAGAATGCTCACAAAGGACATCAAGCCCGCCAAAGACAAAAAGAAGAAAGGAGCCTGATATATATATATATATATATATATATATGCATATGATTGATGGCAAAAAAAAATCCATTTTCTGAAGTTTTGGTACGCTGCAGCAAAGTCAGAACAACTCCGTTTAAAAAAAGCATGAAGTTGAGGATTGGAGTCTGTAAATCGTGCCACAATAAAAACATGCTGGAGGCTACTCCAAGGGTGGGAGACCGAATCAGAAGATTGGTCAGTTCCTATTAATTTCGATTGAGTATATGGCTCAAAGTCTTGCATCGGTTCAGCTGTAGTATTTCCGTGAGGTAGTTTTGTTTTCTTCTCATTTCACGTGAAGAGGAGGAGAGGGATTTGTAATAACTTAACTGTAATTGATTGTATTTTATTACACTATCAAATATAGATAAATCTATACGCAACATTTTAGTTGTAATGTGCTTTCCTAAGTTGTTGTCAAAGCGGAATTCTGTTATCTGTTTCGGTGGTTAGTAAAACAAAAGTGTAATGATCTTATGAATTGTCAGATTCAGATCTATATTGTAAAAGTTCCTCCAATAATATTTTCATGTGGATGGAGATTTAACAAATAGGTTAAATTTTGTACAAACTTAAAAAATTTTGAATGTATTTGAAATAACTAGTTGTAGTATATTTGAAATAATCATTTGTTTCTTCCTTTTCTGGCCTAAATCAATCTTTGCATATATGAATTCTGATTATTTGAACAACCAATTTTAACTTAAAACTTCATCTAATAAATTCTTGGATTTAGTGAAGGGCCCACTCATGTAGTTGTTTAGAGTATGTATTCCCTCAGGCAAGATTCTGAGTTCGAGTCATAGTAAATCCTTGAATTTAGCAAAGGACCTACTAGCAAAGCCGGTCCATTGATTTTGGAGACCCTGTGCAAATATGAATGTCGAGGCCTTGTATATACAAGTAGGAAAAAAAAATCCATATGAAAACAAAAATTTCTGACACGAGAAGATCACATTCGGAAAGAGCTTTCCAGAAAAGAAAAAAAAAAAAAAAATCTTTAGTCACCCTTCTAAATCACAGAGCTGATAAATTGATTTTCCAATTTCAATGCTTGGTGAATTCTTATATGAATAAAGGAGGGAGAAAAGAATTGTGATTTTGGGGAAAGGGCTAAAGCTTGGGTTTTTACAATCCAAAATTTGATGGAAGAGGGTGGTACACTGGTACTTAAGAAAAATGGCTTTATTTTGATGGAGGAGAGTGAGAAAGACTTACTGAAAGAGAAAAGAATATTAGAATGGTTTTGAAGCTTGAGAGTTGAGATGAGGAAAACACAGGTTTCAAACCATAATAAATAAATAAAAAGAAGAGTTGCAGCATGAGAGTTGGGAAGAAAAAAATGAATTAAATTAGGGTCTCTACTCCCTAAGTCATAGAATTTGTTGATAATTAATATTCAATTCAATTTTGCTTTTGGTGCCTTGCATGTGGTGTTGTGGGGTGATATTTAATATTTTATTTTTATTTTCATGTTTTAATTAATTTAATGGGTTGACTTGGAAAAATTTGGAGGCCCCTAAATTTTGGGGGCCATGTGCAGTCGCACACCTCGCACACTCCATGGGCCGCCTCTGTCTACTAGTGTAGTTGTTTATAGTATATACTCCCTCAGGTAAGGTCCTATGTTCGAGCTCTAGCATTCATGTAGTATGTGTGAGTTTAGTATATTATCGTCCCTCTCAATAGGAAATGTGCTAAAAAAAAAAAAAAAAATCCTTAGATTTGAAATCAATAAATAGGGTTACTTTCTTCCCAAAAAAAAAGGGTTACAAACAAGCGAGCCATACAGTCTACAGTTCAACATTTGGTCCAATTTGGGTTCACCATTTCAGGCCCACCTTAGGCCTATTAGAACTTACCAATAATCTGAGGCCTGCAACATAACGACAGCGTTTCGAGACATGTCAAGTTGTTGTCTGCAACCCCCGCCGTGCGTGCGAGAGGCAGAGACAGAGGGGAGGATGGAGAGCACAGTGGAAGTAGACAAAGGGCCAGTCCCGGAGCACCAATCCATCGCTGCTGCCCAACCACCACCCTCCCCTTCCGGTCAGTCTCTTCCCATTGTATGACCGCATAATAACAAACAACATCGACTTTAATATCAATCAGAGACTCTGTTATGTTTTATTCTCGAGTGCTATGTGTTTCGTTTTATTTGGGGTTTCTCTTATACTTGGTACTTGGATAGGCGTTGTGTTGTTAATTTTATTTTTTGTTTAAGGTTGTCCACTTGACAACTCACTTGTCTTGCTTTGTTATTTGTCTCAAAATTTTCCAACTTTCTATGTTGGCAACTTTATCATCAAACGATTTATAGATTAGGGGCTGAGCAGGAATAGGAATGAATCATGGATAATTTGTTTTATGATGCATTGCTAATTTGCTACCATATCAACATAAATAATTATTGGATCCAAAATATCAGATCAGATCCCATGGCTACCTTATTGGAACCGCTGAATTACTAAATGTTGATCTTTAGATTCCTCAGAAGAATGTTCCATAGAGCCTTTCATCTCAGCTTTTACACATAGTGAAAGTTTTTTTTTTTTTTATCTGATGAGCTAGCTAATTGTGATGCAGAAATAGCTCAAATGGTTTGTGGTTCTTGCCGTCGCCTGCTTAAATATTCACGAGGAGCCAGACATGTTCAATGCTCATGCTGTCAGACGGTCAACTTTGTGCTAGAAGGTTCTTCTCTCTTCCTCTTTCACTTAGATACTTGGTGTACCTAGTAAGCAACGTTCTCAGTCTCATTCTCTCCTCTTTTTCCTTTTCCAAAATTGTTGTAGGTTTTCTTACTTCATGTTATCTTGTGATGATATTGTACGCCTAGCGCAAGTATTGCCAAAGTTTGATAACAATGTAAAAGGAGAAAGAGAGACTGCAGTTGCAACTTCATTCAAAGAAGCAGTGCATGACCCCAACTAACATTAAATATAGAATTTGTGCAATACCTGATCTTTTGAGTTGATTAGGGTGACGCAATCAATTCTTTTTCTTGTAAAATTTGTTATGAAATTTCGAAGGCCCCTATGCAGTGTGCAATAGTTCAGCACTAAACCACAAGTGCCAATGGACTTAAAATCGAGTCATCGTTATGCAATAACTGTCATGATGGCACTATGTTCTATTTTTTAACTCATTCTTCTTTTATCAGCTGATCAGGTTGGACAAGTTAAATGTGGTAGTTGTGCAGTGTTGCTGATGTATCAATATGGAGCTTCATCCGTCAGGTGTTCCTCTTGCCAGTTTGTGACAGAAATTGGAGTAAGTAAACAATATACATGCAAAAGAATAGATACCTCTGTGCTGTGGACACATTGAAACCATTTTGTGTCTGTTATGGGAATACACTTGTGAGTCTCACTGCCAATAGGCTAGTGTCATATGTGAAATCAGAAATTTTGTAAGAAGTTATTAGCAAAGTCTAGAACTTTGTTTCCATGATTATCAAGAAATTACCGAGGACAGGGATGAGATGCTCTCTTTGAACTGCCTGATGATGAGATGATATTTCTTATCTTCCCTCCCCCCACAACAACAACAACAACAACAACAAAAAAACAACAAAAAAAACAACAACAAAAAAGAAGAAGAAAGATTTCCTTTGAAATAAAAATTAGAAGAGGTTATGGGATTTGTAGACTTTCACATGTGTACAATAATGAAAGTTCTATGTTTTTTGCTTCGTATTTATAGACGTCATGTTCTTTCATTGGTAATAGTTATTATTATAAGGGAGAATAATAATAAAGCACTTTTAAAACAAAATGTATTGTCATTTGTATTTAGTTGTTCTAAATAGATCAGAATGCAATTGCTTGTGTTTCATATGTATGACTGGATATGAAATGTTTTTATTTGTAGGAACACAACAAGCGTCCTCCATGGTCTGTTCAACAGGGGCAACCACTTCCCCCTGCTAATCCTGTTCATTAAACTGCTTATGTGAGGCGTGCCTAGAAATTGTAGAGGAAAATTTGTGACTAATTTTAAACATTTTGAACATGCAGCATGTAATAATGTGGTACTGTATATGAAATTCAACTTTACACCTATGGCAGAAACATGTACCATATCATATTGCAAGAATTAGTAAACGTAACATCTTTCTTTTGGGGGAAAAAAGGTAACTGGAGACTTGAGCTCAAACAGTTGAATGTTCATTCAATCATCAGCCGGGATGTCCTCGTCACTCTCCAGAAATGAGCCCAGAGTCTTTCTCAGAAGGCTGAAAGTTCTGTCATCCTGAGTTTATAAACAGAAAATGTGGTTTTGAGACATGTTTATATATACATTGAGATATCAGTACAAGCTTCTTTTTATTTTGAGAGAGAGAGAGAGAGAGAGAGAGAGAGAGAGAGAGAGAGAGAGAGAGGTGCCTGCTTCTTCTTTTTCAATGACTCTTCCAGTTTAGCAATTTTATCAGTTCAAGCTTTCTCGTGAGGGGAGGTGGTGGTCAATATGTTTGGAATTACTTGAAAGGTTGCATGCCCGATATGAAAGTCCAGAGTTCAAGTGAATTGTTACAAAATGTGACAAGGGCTATATTATATGCAACTCTTTTTGATAAATATATTGGTGGAAGTGTGCGCGTTTGAAGTTAAAGAAAAAACAGTTACAAAGGCATATGACCAACTGGTTCTAGGAGCGCTTTTTGATCATTATGATGCCTTAGCTATGTAGCTTTCGAAGTCATTGTTCTTTCTTGTAGATCGTCGTCATTACAAGTATACGCGCGATAATAATAAGAAAATTGACCAACAATTCGGAGTACAGTTTGAAGAAGAGAAATATATAGGGAATGTTGTCGTCAAGCTAGGAACAAACTTGTTCGTCCTAGTTGTACATTTTGAGAACCCAATTGATGCACTATATGAGAAGCTGAAAAGTCAAGATAGTCAACGGAAAAGAAAAAATCGTCGACGTAAAGTGCCCCGTGAAGTTGAATATCATCTTGCCCAACCCAACCAAAAGTCAGTCTGCAATCCCCTAAGAGTTCCCTTTAGTTGAGGGATCAAAATCCAACAAAGGTTCACTCTTAAACGGGGCCAAAAAGGAAAAGCTTCACTCTTCTTTCAAAATCAAAATCACATTACTTTCTCTTGCGCAACCTTTCAATTGTATATTCTAACCAACAATATGATTGTTGATCATTCAACTCTGTGAGCACCACCCTTTGAGAAACGACTTGATTTCATTAATTTTCTACCAAAGTTAAACTTTTCCGATTAATATTGTCTAATTAGATTAGTATTGTTCACGCATTTTCCCCTTCAGTCCCCACTTAATCGATTTTTCCTGCAGTAGCTTCAAAACCTGTGTAAATGTAAAAAGGAAAAGCCAAGTATGAAGAATTGTTCAAACAGATGCAGCAAGTAATTATGAACCAATCTTACCAATACTCACCTACGAGATCCTTTTGAGATCTCTTCCTCTGGTGTATCAATGATGACCTTAAGACACTTGATTGCTGACGAGAAGAAAACACATAATTACAATTAACAAGAAAAAAGTTCAAAGAATAACTAGGAACATGAGATTCCAGAAAATGATGAAATTTGACACTAAAAAAGACGCATCGCCTCCTTGGCACCGCGTTCTTGCAAGCCAAGCACTATTTCACCTTGTGTCTCAACGTTTCTGATGAGGAACACACAATAAAAGAAAAGAAAAAATAACATTGTGGGATCCTATACACCACCATTAACCAATCCACAGAGAGTAGAAACACACACCACAAAATTTCAACGAAAAGGATGCTAACCTTGTTCTAAGAATCATTTCATTTGACTCTTCATCCACTTCGGGTGCCTTTTCTTGGAAAAATTTTCCCTGCCACAGAACAATAGATATGTGATCAAGTCAGGCTTGGTATCTGCATTAAGTGAAACTGCCCCTTGTTCAATTTTTGAAGCATGTATTTCATTTTATCCAACTGAAGAGTGTGTTTAAGTAAAGCTATTTGCAATATAGTCGAAAGATGCTATTTCATTTTTTTTAAGAAAATAATTCATATCCGATCGCTTCATAACAGCAAGTAAGCCTTACTTGTTCTACAAGTTTGTTTGCTCGATCATGATCCTCCTTAGCAAATGCCTCTACTGCCTGGCAAGGAAAATTGATATCCTTACACTTGAAGGCTACTAAGAGAAACTACTCTCCACGTTTTGTAGATCAAATAATTGCAAATAAAATACTAAACCCTAAAAAGCCACATACATCGTGGAAATATTCCTTCATTGTAGTCCGATACTCCTTCACAGCTTTACAAAGAACCTGGTAGTTATCTTCGTCATCTGCATCTGCAATTTATCACACTTTATTTATGAAAGAAAATACAAACATAAACATGAAATTTTATCAGTACAAGCTTTCTCATGCTCAGATATCAGACTCCTCTCTTTCTTTCCTGACATGACATCAACCCATCAGAAAATTTTGTTGTATTCGATTTCACTATAAGGAGGAGTAAAGGAGTTTTGTTGCTTACTCAGTTGTTCATATCGTGTGCAGAGCCTTTCCTTCTCTTCTTCATAGTTGGAAATGATGCCTGTCAAATAGAACAACAATGCTTGACAGAGTCGACGGGTTATATTGGTTAATAATTGCAAGGCCGGTTCTGCAGTTTTGATATGATGCTCTTAAATTTTACTTGTTACTGGAAAATTGGAGCCAAACTAAAGGAGCTACATGCATAAGATGACAGTAGACATTGTCATGTTCTGTGTGCAGAGTATAAAAAAGCAGGCTTCCTATCCATAGAAATCCGAAACCGAAAGTATGCAGACAAAAAAGCTAGTTGCTGGTAATTTGGTAAAGAAACTTTGCAAAATCACTAGATGCAGACAAATAAGCTAGTTTGCTGATTAGGTAATTTATAGTGAGATTCGAGCGCGACAAAAAAAGCTAGTTTGCAAAATCACTAGATGCAGACAAAAAAGCTAGTTCCTTCTCTTCTTCATAGTTGAAGAAGCTTTTTTGAGTTGCAGAGTGAGATTCGCGCGCGCTCAAATTGGCTTTAGAGGTTGAAGAAGCTTTTAAACTTGTAAGAGAAGCAGCTTGTAGAGTCCATTACTTTAAAAAATACAGAGGTGTTTATGAAAAAAAGAGACTTAGCCAGTGAACCTATGAAGCTCTTTAAACAGATAAACAATGGTTTCTGAATCTTACCGGACTATTTGAGGAAGCAAATGTAAGCGAACTTGGGTCTTCTTCAAATCTGTTTTGTGAGAAGGGAGTTTTTTTTTTTTTTTTTTTTTCCTTCTTTTATAAATTATTTTAGTTCTGTTTAATGGCTTTATTTAATGGGCCCCATATTAAATACTTTTTTATTTTATTGATATGGGTTTATTTATTAGTATAATAATATGTCCTGATTGCCTTTTTTTTGGTCTGAAAAAATATGTCCTGATTTGCTTTAGGTTTCCTATATCAAGGTTTTCCTATTTTATATGATAATATATGAATTTCCTATAGACGCAGAGTCCGTGTTGTACCAGGATTCCTATATAATAACCCCGTCTCTTTTCTATCACAATTTTCCCTAAATCCCAAGCGGCATTATTATATTTAAGGGTTTGTGATGAAGATTATATGCAATTTAATTATATGTCTCAGATTTTATGTATGATAAATTCCCTATGAGAATACTCACGCTTTGGTTCTAGTAGAATTTCGTCCCGTATAATATTCTAATTCTATTTGTTTACTTTCTGAGGAAAATTATTTTTGAGAGTGTATTTCGCAACAAAATATTGAAGATGGTGGCATGGCTTTGCTAATTGATCAAATTAAGATATAATTGATTTATCATGGTTGTCGTTAGGTGGAAGCATGTTGCAGATAACATTTTCTCCATGTATTATTCATTGTGTGCTATGGTAAAATCAAAGTATTGTTTTTATATTATTTTTGTTGGTGTAATTATAGAGCATATATATTACGCCAAAATTTTGAATCAGTTTTTTTTTTAAGATGATTTTTCCAGCAAAGTTATTTTGGTTTGTGCATTATGCATAGACAATATTTTGGTTTGAATCAGTTTTTTTGGTGTTTGTATGTCATTCCTTTTAACTTCTTTGACATCATCACCTTTTTTTTCTTTTTTCTTTTTTCTTTTTGTATTTAACAATGTAATTACATGGAAACATGGAGCAAGGCTGATGAATCAGAGCTTGAAGAACCTGAGGATGAAGAATTTTTGTCTAATGAATCAGAGGCTGAAGAACTTATTGGTAAGCTTTTGATTTCTCTATTTACATATATTCATTTTTTTTAAGTCTCTTATGACATAACATCTATATTATGCCAAAATTTTGAATCAATTTTTGACGATGATTTTTCCTAGCCAATTTATTTTGGTGTGTGCATGATGCATAGCGGATATTTAATAATATCGTTATTTGTTGATGGGATCATATATGTCGTTCATTCTAACTTCTTTGACGTCATCACCTTTTTCTTTTTGTATCTAACAATGTAATGGCATGAAAACAGGGAGCAAGGCTGTTGAATATGATTCTGTAGAATTAGAAGTTGATGAATTGGAGCCTAGAAAACTTATTGGTAAGCTTTTGATTTTAGGTACAAAAGAGAAGTAAAAAAATGCTCCTACTTATATATATTTTTTTAATCTCTTATTACATAACATCTATGTATTTGTTATTCTATGTAATGTGCTCGCAATACTGATTTTTGAGTTTTATCATCTTCATTCATTCATTGTTTTTTTTTTTAAATAATAATAAATTTTTATTTTTATTTCTTTTATTGTATTTAACAATGGATCGAAAAATTGCACACAGGTCATGAATGTGAGTATTGTTTAAAGGTGGGTGATCACTTTACAATACTATGCCCTTACAAGCATTATGTCCCAAAGAACGCAATTGTTAGCACTAGGTGTGTGGTTCTTTGTAATCGTTGTGGTTGCCACTTTAGAGACTCATGTTGTTCCAGTTGTGGGCGAAGCGATGGATGTGCAGTTCTCATGGATTGTTTAAATTGTGGGAAGAAAGGTGAACACATGACTTATATGTGTCCGAGCCGCAAGCTGAATCCCGTTCACTCACACACAATCAAGGACGGCGGCGTTGTGTCTCCATCTTTGCAAATCCACCGGCCAAAGCCAATCAGTATGTTTTTTCCTCCTTCGTTTAATTTAAGGATTTGTGACGAAGATTATGTGCAATTTAATTTTATGCCTCAGATTTTGTGTATGATAAATTCCCTATGAGATTACTTGTGTTTTGGTTCTAGTAGAATTTTGTCCCGTACAATATCCTACTTTTATTTGTTTACTTTTAGATTAAAATTATTTATGAGAGTGTATTTATCAACAAAATATTTGTGTTGCACGTTTTTATTTTATTTTTGGGAAATAATTGAAGATGGTGGCATGGCTTTGGTAATTGATCAAATTTAGATATAATTGATTTATCATGGTTGTCGTTAGGTGGAAGCATGTTGCAGATGACATTTTCTCCATGCATTATTCATTATGTGGTTTAGAAAAAAAGTGTTGTTTTTATATTATTTTTGTTGGTGTAATTATAGAGGATGCATCATGCCAAAATTTTGTATCAGTTTTTGAAGATGATTTTCTCCAGCCAAGTTGTTTTGGTGTGTGCATGATGCATAATATCGTTATTTGTTGATGGGATGATGTCGCTCCTTCTAACTTCTTTGGCATCATTACTTTTTTTTATTGTGTATTTAACAATGTAATTGCATGGAAACGTGGAGCAAGAATGATGAATCGGAGAATGATGAATCGGGGATTGATGAATCGGAGACTGATAAATCGGAGATTGATGAATCGGAGACTGATGAATCGGAAAATCTTATTGGTAAGCTTTTGATTTTAGGGACCAAAAAAAAATTGCGCCTAAAGCTTCCCTATTTACATATATTCGTTTTTTTTTTTTCAATCTCTTCTTTCATAACATCTATGTACTTCTTGTTATTCTATGTAATGTGCTCACAAACTAATTTTGAGTTTTATCATCTTCATTCATTCATTGTTTAAAAATAATAATAAGAAAATAACTGATTATTTTTATTGCTTTTATTGTATTTAACAATGGATCAACAAATTGCAGGTCATGAATGTGAGTATTGTTTAAAGGTGGGTGATTACTTTACAATACTATGCCCTTACAGGCATCATGTCCCAAAGAATGCGATTGTTAGCGAGAGGTGTGTGGTACTTTGTAATTGTTGTGGTTGCCACTTTAAAGACTCGTGTTGTTCCAGTTGTGGTGGAAGCGATGGATGTGCAGTTAACATGAATTGTTTACATTGTGGGAATTATGGTGAACACATGACTTATATGTCGTTTCCTATTAATGTCATGCTTTTGTTCAGCCATACATCCTATCATCATTTGATGTCTACATTGCGTTTTGTTTTTATCGCAAATGAATTGCAATTTGCAGCACATGATCTATAATTATAAATAAAATTGTACACATAGAAAAGGGAAGGTGGAGCCAAGTGATATGGCAGTGTCATGTATGCATATGAATCATGATATGAGGGCCAAGTGATGCTTCGACAACCTCTGGAAGTAGTTGGATATAATTGCCAGAAATGTAATCAATGCTACTGCTTCCCACCCTCTCATGAGAAACTGGCTATGAATGTGCCAGGGTTGCTTTAAATTCATAAATCAATTAGATAAGGAATTTAGAATTGAGTTCAAATGTGTAATTCATGGTTTCTAACTTTTTCTGTCAGCAAGTATAATTTATTTGAGCTGATCTCAAAGTTCTCAAAACTTACTGGGCATGTTAAAACAATAGAGAAATGAAAGAAAATCACCCAAATAAATAAGCCCAATAAGAAACGCTTACTTGACTTGAGATTAGATTTTTACACTAGTAGGAGCGTCTATGACTCATCATGATACTATCTAAAATGCGACAAGGGTCTTTCCAACTTGCAATGCAGATAGTAAGACTGGGTTATGATGCATTGCTAATTTGCTACCATACCAGCATAAAATTTGATAACAATGTAAAAGGAGAAAGAGAGACTGCAGTTGCATTGAACTTCATTCAAAGAAAGAAGCAGTGCATGACCCCAATGTAATGCGTGATCTAAACTAACATGAAATATTGAATATGTACAACACCTGATCTTTTGAATTGGGTCATTCAATTCATTCTTTTTCTTGTAAAATGTGATGCAATTTCGAGGGTGCCTCTTCTTATGATATAATATCGTATTTGTTGTAATTCTATGTCGTGTGCTCACAATACTGATTTTTGGGTTTTATTATCTTCATTCATTCATTGTCACGTCCTCACAATTATTATTTTTATTGCTTTTGTTGTATTTAACAATGAATCTACAAATTGCAGACAAGTGAATATAGGTATTGTTTAAAGATGGGTGAGCATATTACACAACTATGCCCTTATAAGTATCATGTGCCAATGAACACAACTCTTGGCAAGGGTGGGGTGGTTGTTTGTAATGTTTGCGGCACCCACTTTAGAGACTCATATTGTGCCGGATTTTGCCTAAGCAACGGACGTGCAATTCTTTTGGAATGTTCAATATGTAGGGAG